TCGAAGAAATACTGAGTTGCTTTTACAAAGGAGCATCATTAAGATCAATATTGAACGTTCATCATTTCAACAAATCGTTACGTTGTTGTAAGTTGTTATACACAGCACTATCAATGTTATTGATCCAATCTTTTCTAAAATCGTTACCGGAATTTGTTGATGAAGTTAAATTAATTGTTCGTGATACAGGAGGCGACTACGATTTCTTAAAAGACAAGCTGAAACAAGAGTTTTTCAAAAAAATGTTACAGCATATTAATAAAGTAGAACTGTCCATTGCACTGGATGCGTGGACGATGGAAAACATTCGAAAAAATACTACATTCAACTTTTGGTATTTTATTTTGGATTCATTGTTAGAACCATTAATTATTTTCTACGCATCAATTAGAACAGCAAATTTCCCAGCCAGAAACGCATCATTATCTCGAATGGCACCCTTGTTTTTTTGCGAACAATCATCGAAATTATGCGCGATTATGTGCACAACATTTATCCGATTTGCGAGTAAGCTCTAAGTATCTATTACAACGTTTATCAAGATCATTTGCTGTCAATCGGACACATCGACCATTCTCATCGATCGCCATGGATCAAACTATTGAATGTACGATTAACAAACTTGGCAAAGGTAGTGGAGGAATATCAGGACGATTTAGTCAAGAATTAATCGATGTATGGACTAATTCATTTACTTACAGATCTTTAATGACAGGTGTTACTCATGAAATTGCAGGTTTAGAAACCGCCAATAATACAATCGACTCACATGCTGAATGTAGGTTATTCGATTAGTTATTCGATACAGTTTTAAGCATTTAATTAGGTTATTCTAAATCTATATTACTAGATCAGCATTCTTTTTTAGATGCTGTAAATGGACTCAATGGTCAATCGAATGTATGATTTTTCATTGGTTTAGGTACTCCAAGGCGGCTCGAAGTAGATGATGAAGACTTAACAACGATTATTTGCAAATTAACGGAAGAAAATCTTTTTACATGTGAAAATGAACATTGTAGAAAATTATTATCTGGTAAAATTATACATGATGATATTATTGATAACATTTGCACATCCTATGAGCGTGGATTGGAAGCTTTAAAAACATATATTCAAGAACGCTTTGTTATGAAATTAGTGTGTTGATGTAGTTTGAAAATGACTTCGAGCGAAAACAATCATCGATGCAATATTACAGCAGTAATACAGCAGTGACGGATATGAACGATGACAATTCAAATACCAACTTCTTCACACAAGTAAGATTTACCTCCTCAAATATGTCTCAGCATACGCGAATAACTTATACTGTTATTTTAGACATCCCCGACAAACCCTCGAAAAAGGAGTGCAAAATATTCTTCTCGATTGGATATCTTAAATGAATCATTTGATTAGATTCATTTGCCGAAATACAATTTATTTGGATTGATCAGAAGATCAGCAGACAACATTCTAAAAAGGCTGTTTCACAGTATTATACCAAGTTTTATTTTGTTGAACAAACCCAGCGTTGTTTTTGTGGTGAAACTAGCTTGCTTTTTAGTTTTTTTTATACAATTACTTGTATTTGCGTTTTTTGGTACCTTCTTAATCCTTTTATGAAATAAAAACTCGTAGCTGAAAACAAAGATAATTACTCTAGTTAAAACTTACATAACTCATTGGCATCGTATACCAACGGCTTTGGGCAAAAAGTTCGTTCGCCAATATCAGTATATTTACTATTATAATAGTAAATATACTGATATTGGCGATGATCGATGAAGCATATATGCTTCATCGATCCTCTACCACACGATTAAAATAGATAAATGCAAAATCAACAATTATACAGGTAGTGTATCAATTTGATCGCTTTGCTATTCAAATATTTAATTCTCGCCAGTTTTTAAAACAAAACCATTAACACCTCAGTAGCTAAGATACGCCTTCGTTTGGATTCTTCGATGTAGTTGAAATTTCAACGCGTCACTCAACTTTGAATATATATTCTGAAAGCCTTTAATATCAGCTCTAATATTAACTTGAAATGAATTCACGAAAATCAACTTCACTCGTAAAACTCGTAAGAGGGCGCCACGAAGTGCATTTGTCTATAATTGGCTGTTAGTTCGTTGCTGCATGTCATGAGGTAGTGTACCACAGTTGATGAAGAAGTAAATAACAAAAAAGGCAGATGGTATGTAGACAGTGGTCGAACTGCATCCAGTACAGTGATACTGATCCACTAAAAACGTATTTTGCTCGGATGAAATTCATTGGATGAATATTTTAAAATAGAAAGACAATTAAATACGATTTCTCTTCCCCGTTTCATTTTTTTCCAGCCAACTATCGTTAACGAGATACTCACTGTTTACACTTTGAAATATGTGCACGTCGCCGTAAATCGGCGGCCTATAGGACCATAGGACCAACCAATAGTACCACCAATAGGAATCGGGCATCCCAATGGATAAGAGAAAAGGACAGAACAATAAAATAATGTTGGTCCATAACGAACGTGTTTTGAATTTTTATTCCTCAAGAAAACGCTTTTTATTTCTTAGTCTGCTCCTATTTGTTTTTTCCTTTCTCGTTTCAGAAAATAAAATAAACAATACTAGTTCAGCGATTTTTCTCCCCGTTTTCTGTTAGTGAAAAAGGGTGCGATGTCCTCTGTAGATGTACCCAATCTGTTGAGATATTTTTATTGGTTGCCTCTTTCCGTATCTTTTCTTGTTACATTGCGGCGTATTTTGGCAGTAAAGATTTATTTCCATTTTATCAGCACTATTGTTTTTGAGCCGACAAATCTTTTGTTATGCTCAGATCGAAACAAGCCTTTTAGTTAGGTATGTGTCAATTCGATCAATTAAATAAATAAAAATAAATAGCGCGAGAGCAAGCCTAGAAGGAAGATGTATTCGCTTGTGCCGTAAGTCCTTTATGGACAGCACCAGTGAGAATTAGCTGATGATTTAATATGAATTTTGCTAATCTGTACGCTCTTTTTGGTATGACTTCGAAGTGCAAAGAAGTAGATTTGCTCTGCTTAAGGATTTCGGGATATTTTTGATGCAGTAAAGGATTGGAAGGCATTTTTCTATCCAATGAGCCCGCTTTACTTGGTACGTACAATAGAACGGGTTTCTGTGTTTTTCAATCGGAACAGAACGCGTTAGTACATGATGCATTTTAACTCTTTTCCGATTTGCTAGCGCTCTGAAACGCGTTACATCTTGACGCGTTTGAAAGCTTTTACTCTGCACTGCTTCTAGACGCGTTAACAATCAACGCGTTTCACTGTTTCCATGTTTAACGCAGCAAAAAGCGTTAATATAAGCAGCTTTTAAACGCGCTTTTACTATACTAATGCATCGAAACGCGTTGTTACTTGCCGCGTTTTAATGCATCTCAGACTTGTTAACGCTTCAAAATGCGTTAGTTTTCTAAAAAAACGCGTCCTAACGCGTCATGTGAGTAAACGAGCGCGTTTAGACGTGCGTTAACTCAAAAAAACTACCACCTGGGTTGATCCAAGTGCCTATGCACCTTTAAATTATGTATTTGGAAATATTACGAGTTGTATTCTCGTTAATCCATTAGTCAAAGAAGAAGAAGAAAATATCTAAGACTTTGTAAAAAAATTAATACAAATTTCTAAATTTTAATATCCATTGGTGGATGGTTCTTCAATGATCCGGGACCGACAAGAACAGAATTTCATAAAATTGCATTAACACAAAGTAAAAATCTTTTATTTATCCAACAGAAAGTTAGATCTAAGCTGCCAGTGAGGAGGACGCACATGTGGAAAAAGTTTTTTATTTTTGATTGCTAACTAATACCATTACTCATACGGTACGGTTCACAGGCTCAAACATAGAGTCGAAAGTCTTTGGTGAAACAGCAGGTCGTATAAGCGGCAAAAATTTCTCTAAGTATTTTGGAGAAAGAAACATACATTTCATCTGAAATCAGCATTGAAATTCTGGGCTAATTGGACAGTTTTTTAGCCATAAAACACCTGTGGTACATCAAAAAAATGTTTTTCTACCTTTTCCACAAAAGATACATCATTCGATGCAGATTCTGATGTTAATTACAGGTAGTACGTTGAAAATCGAATAAAAATGTATCTTGATCGAAAACATTCGATTTTATGTAGTGATGACATCAGCAACCTCGTCTCGTGTAGAGGCCTGCGGGACCAAGCTTTTTTGGTCCGGGTCCCGGGAAAGAACTCGTTTTTGATCCCTTGGTGCCGTAAATATTTTTTCAAAGTGGCGCGGATACTTTGAAAGTCAGCGCGTTGTAATGTGGCTCGTGGAACAGCATGCGTGGGTGGTAATAACTAAGACTTTTAGAATTTTCTATGAGTTCTTTCTAGCAGAACTGGTGTCTACATACAAACAAGCACAGAAACTAAGAAATTTTTATACTCCATACAAGGCTATTTTCAAAAAAACCTGATCCTCTTATATACCATTCAATGCAGTTTTAAACCGGGAACAAAACTATCTATTATTCAATTGTTACATACACTGCCCACACCCACGGTTTTGGAATACTACTGTTAAAATAATAAGACCTTTTCGGCATAGCCAACGATAGTATGTCTGTTGCTTTACCCATGAGAGAACCTAGCTTGCGGTCCACATTATGTATCGAAAGGAAGCTCTTTCAAAACTCTACAAAATGGCTGGTAATTCATTTCTACTTGAAAGTGCAAACACTCATGTTTTTGGATATTGCTACTGCAAAGTGGTGTTTTGGGCATCGATGGCTAACGAGGGAACATATGTAATTGACCAATCGTTTTTTTAATGAAATCTAGTGGAGTATAGATAAAAAATGGTGCGGAATCCGAATATCGGCATGAGACGGGCCGCTAGACTTTGTGAGTACTGGATTTCTGGGAAACCAGCTTTCCAGAGCCAGAAACTTTTTGTTCCAAAAATTTTTTCTGATCTGTCTCGATTGTAGAGCACATCGAGAAACCTATAAAAAACTAGTTTTCAGAATTTTGGAATCCTTCCACCGCCCGGACGTTAGTGACAATACTTGCCTCATATTATAGAGTTCAGCTAGCTGAACCGAATGATGGAAACCGGAAGTCTCTAGTTTTGTTAGAAAACAAGTTATAGCCATTTTATCCTAGCAGTGGGAAAATGCATTTTCTGGTGGATTTGGCCTAACTTGTACGACGTCTGCTGACCACATTCCCTAAATCTTGAGGTTGCCATCAAATGAAAGAGCGCATCGAGTTCTATATATTTCGATGAAGAAACGTTATGCTAGGCGCTGGGGTCTTGAGATAGCGATTTCTGAAAAATTCTCAGGTTCCCAGGTTTTCTAGAAAACCTAGTGATCTGAAAATTTCTGCAGCTAGCTATACTCGCTATATTTTACTCTTTTAGCTTGCTGCAGCCAATGGAGAAGCGGACGCTTCTTCAGCGCTTAAAATTCAGAAGTTTTACAACCATATCATTGAATAGTCCCTTCAATTCTCCACAACCCGGGTTCTTTCATGGTGAAAAAGTTGATTTTTGGAATGGAAGAACCCATGAAAAAATCGTGAAAAGGTCATTTTTAGCAGTATTATTCCAATAACGTGGGTGTGAGCAGTGTACATAACAATTGAGCAACAGATAGTTTTGTTCGGCGTTTAAAGCTGCATCGAATGGTATTTGAAACTTTCCCTCAAACTTAGTTTATTCTAAGAAAAGTACGAAAAACACATCGGGATGGGTTCGGATCTGTCGCGTCTGTACTGTATTTTCTTCGCTCTTTCGGAAAACAACTTTCGGAATCTTTTGAAGCTAGACTTTCTTTCGATCGCCTTTCGGCTGAGCTTCGTATGTGCCTTTTTAATGGTTTCTGCTGGAATGGTTCTTGACGGAAAAAACTAGATAGAGTTGCAAAATAAGGACCCACGAACGAAGCAACACCGATTTTTGAATTTAAGTAAGGTAATATTCGGGATCAGCAGCGTCCGCTCTATCAGAATATATGTGCTTAAAATCAAAATAAAAAGTGCTATAAGTTTGAATTATGGGCGCCTTACACGATTTCAACTAGAATGCAGCTAGATAAATGTAGCTTTTAGTCTAATTAATCTAGCTATAAGCGGGCGCTGTAGCTATTTTTGCAACCAGATTTTCTCGCTTACTTATTCTTGCTTGTGTTGATTGCTCAATCGGAACATCGGCTTTTATTTCAACCTTTTTAAGAACAGCCTTAAAACTTCATCATATCTTGAGACGGCTTCTATAAATACGAATGTGCATAGAAATTTCGGACTCGTTTTCTAACAAGAAACAAAAAATCTTAGAGTCGGTATTCCATTGATTCGAAGCCAGGACTTTGACGCATTTTTCCATAAAGGATTCAATCCAAGAATCTCAATGTGGATTCAACGGGATCTAAAGAAGAATTTTGTTTCTTTTATATAAGTTGATAGTTTAAAGTACGATTAACGAGCATATTTGGATCTCATGAAATATTTGTTGCTAGCCAAAATGAGGATCGTCAAACTTAATTCCACTAAAACTACTGATTTTTGGGCGAAGATGACCTCACTCTCACCACTTGACAACGAAGATTCCATGAGATCAACATGTTCTTTTACTTCGGGCGATTTTTCTAGAAAAGCACAATCTTTTGTTGATCTTGAAGAGTTTTCCGCTATGCATCTATCAGCTCCGAGCCTATGGATTTTGAACTTTACCGTACAAACGGTTCATTCTGAGAGCACACTGTGGCAAAAAATTTTTGCATTGCTATTGAAAAGATACATTGGTACTTCTTCGTCAAATTACTGTACCCGACAGTTGCAATATTAATATTTAGTTGAGTATCACTGTGCATTATACTTGTATATAGGAACGACAATCAATTCCACTTTCGTTATAAATTCATTAGAAAAGATAGATATACAACGGATTTTCAGTCGTAACAATCGAATTACACACTTTTCAGAAAATTTCATTTTCAATTCTGAATTAATTGTCATAAATAAAAATTAACTGTATTGCCGTTTCACATCCAAGGGCAAACAGTTTTTTTTATTTGTAATAAGATATACTCATTATTTTACAAACAATCAACATGCTAGAATGAATTAGAAAATGAAATAGAACATTGTTTTTTATTTGTAATAAGATATACTCATTATTGTACAAACAATCAACATGCTACATACGTTCCTTTTTCTCCCTAATCTTTTCTCGATAAAGAATGGATGAAGTATGAATTCAAAATTCGATGATAGGCAACCCATAGAAACGTAGGTATCAATAACACATATACCTATTGTGAATTGCCTTTTCATTTACATCTCTTGCTCACATATATTTTCATCTATCACGATGTCGACTATTGTACTCCTGTCGGCCGTATTACTGGCACTTAACATTTTCGTTCCCATTCATTCAAAAGTAACGAATCGTACGTATTTGATCAAGAAAGATTTTCTCAGTGACCTTAAAGGAGGTGAATTTCCTGTCTATGATAGTACGGGAAAGAAGCAGCTATATCGTATGGAATCAAAAATTGGCAAAACGCACAATGTTCAAGTATTTGCTACTACATCGAAGAAAGTTTTAGCGGAACTGGCAGCCAGAGTGGCATCGGCCATGTACAAAGGGAATATTGCTGTTTTGGATACAAACTTGAAACAGTGGAAAAATGGAACAATTGAACACGGTAATAAATTTAGAGTTTTTTGGAACGGACAACGTATATCAATGGAAGGTAAAGGTAATTCATTGGACACAACATTTCGTGATGAATCGAACTCTAATATATTGGCTCAATTTAAAAAAAGTAAAAGTTCATTGTTCTCGAAAAGCAAATACTATTTGCAAGTATTCTCTGATACATTACCCGATACATTCTACTTTTTGGGAGTAGCCGCCAGAGATGGAAACAAAAAGCTTTCCAAAGGTTAAATATTGATTTTGTTTTCTAAATGTAGATCGATTGATTACTATTAATTAATTTTAGGAGGAGATAATACTAACGATTATGAACGTTATGTTCGTATAAATGGTCTTGCACGAGCGGCTATATCATACGATAAAGACTATGAGAAAGGGAAAATGTATGCTGATGAATTGCTTGCATTTAAACCTCAAGATACCGGTTATAATAGTGCCGTATTTAAAGGAAATATTTTCAATGGTCTTGTCGCATTTAGAAGAGATAAAGATGTAGCAACTGCAAAGAGGTTTTTATTAGCCGCTGGTAAAATAGCTGCAGATCTTGGAGGATCTCCAACTCTGAACTCGTTTGGTCCAAACATGAGTCTTGCTAAAGATTTATTGGAAGTACGTGAACAAGAAACGGTGCTCAAATATTTTAATTATTGTCGAAAATTTTGGAAAAAAAATATATTAGATGAATGGACAAGTGTAGTAAAAAATGGAGGCATTCCAGATTTTGGTGCTAATTTGGACTATTAGAAGAAAAAAGACTGGAAATTAAAGAGTAACTTCTGTGTTTCTTGTGGATCACTGACATATTTAAATAACAGTTCAACATTTTTGGTTTTATTATATTGGTCATCTTCTTATAAAAACTGAGCTACAAGACTTGACTGAAGAAAAACTTTATGTTATACAACGTTTATTTTGGTTTTATTATCTTTTTGAGGGTACTTTCATGCTAGTTTCTGATACTTTTACTATTAACTTTCTGCAGTTTTTGAAATAATTCAGTTTATTTTGTCCCTGTTTGTTAAATCTTTAACACGAATACATTTCTAATTTGGAAAATTTCACTTTACGATTCAGTATGAACCATCCAGCATTTTAGATGACGAATGAGAGAACATCTCGAGGTGTTTAATCGCTTTTGAACCGCTATTTTGCCCACAAGCAGGGGATCTCTAGATTAGAATAACCCTAAGTTGGATCGGTTGTCTGAGCTTCGGGAGTCGAGTTATAAATTTTTCAATTTTTGTGAAAAAACGCAATATTGAGAGAAAAAGTTCGATTTCTCAGTAACTATAATTCCGTTGTACTTGAAAATTTTACGGTAACTACTGATGATTTTACTTGTATTCTGCCGAGAGTTTGAGCATCACACAATTCGACCTCCCGGAGATATTGAAATTACAAAGCTGGCCGTCTTTTCAATTTCTTTTTCATTAGCAATCTCTCTCTTGGCCACACCCTAAACGAAACTGATATTCTACTTTCATCACAGAGCCTATGAAACCAGGCAGTGTTCTTTCACTTATTCTGTTACTTTCCCAAACATTTTTTTGCCCTCATTTCGAATATTTCTCTTAAAATCACTCATAGAAAGAAACATCGGATTCTAACTCGAGTTTCTGAAAATAATGAACAACCCAAATGTGTTCTTTTCAACTAACCTGCGATGAAGAAACGTACTTTCGTGATCTTGCATGGTTGATCTTTATTTTCTCGAGAAAAACTAAGTAAATACGCTTCAAACTCCTTCCGTGTAGACTTTTCGAAAATTTGAGGATATGGATTTAAAACGATAAGATATTTTATACTGATCACAACAGATACCTTGCCAGTCATCGTATACTACTAGATAGTTTTATGTGTAAACCCAGATAACTGGTTGCAGAGAGAAAAAAACAAAAAATGTGTAGAATGCACTTTGAGGTAAAATGGGTAGCACATAGTTCCTGCGAGGTTTTCACATTGTTGAGTTAACCACGTGCACAAAACTAGTTTTAGCCTTAGAGATGAGTCCTCCCCTAAACATACCCTCGAACTTGGCTAGTATATAGAGAGCACCTTCAATGATATGTCTTTGAGACAAAACAAAATCTGATCAAATATTGACAGTGTTATTAATCAATTAAGTTTAAATTCTAATTAAAATTTGAATTGATAATCCCCCTTTTGGAAACGTTGCAGTTCGATGAAAGATAATCGTAGAAGCTGCATTCTTGCGTAGGTTGAGAGCCAATAATCTAGAATTATAGATTTAGAAAAAAGATTTGAAATTATCTTTTATAGGTATCAGATTATAATTAATAATTATCAATAAATGCATGTTAGCATAACTCTGGTGCCTTACACTTTCATTTGTCAGTTGTCGATTTCTTCGAGGTTGAGAAGGGATATTTCATTTGACAGAGATTCTCAAGTACAGATATTGTGAAACACAAAATTGTTAGTTGAACAGTTTACTGTCTTAAATGAAATGTACTTTTAATACAATAGACTTTATAATCTTTTGAACTACTGGATTTTATAGAGCAAACATTTCTCTACAAAATGTCACGTTTCGCACCTTTAAGCGACTCTTAATAGCCGAGTTATAACGATGCTCAAATACAGTAATGAACAGCTTAGAAATCCACTGTAACGAAAAATGGGTTAAAATAACTGCTAATCAGTAACTTTTCGCCGTAGCAAGTACAGGATTTTAAACGTTCAATGGCCGTATTTATAGCAGGAATGCAAAGTATTTGTTTAGCTAACTGAGCTAATATAGGATATTGAGTTTCATTCAATTTCCAATAATTGAAAATATTTGTTTCTTTTTCAATTTTTGTTTCATCACATAAATATAAGTCTAATTCTGTTTTGGATGATGCTGGTTTCACCAAATTATCTTTTACCATCGGTTTATCAAATATTTCATCTAATGGGTCAATAAGCGTCTTTGGTATTGGATTGACTAGCTTTTTACCATCTTTCGTTTTTGTTTCATCTTGAACATTTGTATCTAATAGTGGCAGTTTATTAAATGCGATTTTCAATAAACTTTCAGCATATAATTTTTTGTCGGGTGTATGGTTAAAACTTTTTAAATTTGGATGCAACATGGTCGCAAGATAATGAACATCTGGAAGTGCCCAATAATCTATTACATGTTTTGCATTAAACTTCTTCAGTGGAGTTGTGTGAGAAGTATCATCATCATTAATAGCTGAACGATTAATCAATAACTGGATCACAGTCAATAAGGTATCACAAGGTGAAGTGTTGGTCTTTTTTCTATTAATATTAATATGGACTACATGTAAAAAACAATTCAATCTTAAAAATCAATCTTTTTGCAACACCACCAGCTGATTTATCGACCAACGGGTGAGCCCATGAATATTTTGAGTAATGATTTTTGCAATGCAATATCCATTGATACACAACGTCACTAGAAATACAATCAGGTCGAGTACGCATATCGATCAAATCGATCTGAAGACGAGTTAGGACACGGGAGATTTCAAATTCAAAAATAACTTAAACAATAACAAAACCCAAAAACGTTTCGTTATTATGCCTGCGTATAATATATTTCATATATATTTTTTCTAAAGACATTTCTAATTTCGACTAGTCTAATCCCAAATCAATACAAGTTAACGTATAATTCTATATAGACAATTTATAATTTATTTTATAATTTATAATAAATTCAAAGATATCAAAAAAAAAATTCTCCAGTTTTTGAATATACAACACGCATTGATAGTCGAACGATAAAATGCAATTTGTGTATATCAAACAAAGTACGTAAAGTTTTAGGAGTCGCTGTGCATTCGTTAACGTACTGATTTGTTTCCAGATGATCCGAGAAGGTCTTGGTTCAACAATCAATACACGTCGCCATTTGAGCCATATACATCGAAAACATGCATTGTTATACGAATCATACAAATCACGAGTGCTAATGAGTTATCACGAGTACTATTGCTCCCGGTATGTTAACACTGTCAAAGTGCATTTGATGTAAATCTTTTACTAATCCATAGGTTATTATGGTCCGTCGGCTCATCAAGTTCGTTCAAGAATATTAACTATGTACAAATCAAAATGTGCACAGCTCAAACAAGATTTATCAAGGCAGCCGTTCATTTCATTGACAGCTGACGCATGGAAAAGCGGAAAATATCACAGTTTTCTCGTCATCACCGTCCACTATACAACTGATCGTTATGTGTCCGTGTCAAAAGTGTTAAGTTTTCGTCGATTTTATGGTCGACATTTTGCATCTAGAGTGAAAAAACATTTGGAACGAGTGATAAATTGGTTTGATATCAAACACAAAATACTCTCCGTTTCAAAATGGTTGGCACTCGGTTGCTTTTTGAATAACTTTTTAACGAAAAGCGCTAGCGACTTGCGGTTTTCAGCATCGTGTAGAGGACGAATTTCGACGTTAGGTAAACAATGACC